TTGTTACAATTTATTTCTAGAACTTTCCATAAATTAAAGGAAGGATAATTATAAATAAATTTATGTATATATATATATATATTTATATATATATATGTATATATATATATATATATATATATATATATATATTATAATTGGCTGGTCAAATTTTGATAAATCTTGTGAATTACTCCTCATGAAGAATAAAAAGAATATTAATTATGTAGTAATAAGGAAAAAATATCGAAAAACAACTCATCATTGTATGAATTTAAAAAATTATTAATTTTGTTAGTTTTAGACATTTCAATTTACTTGCAATTTTTATTTATATGTAGATATATGTTAAAATCAGGATATATCAGAAAATGTAGTTTGGGCATTTTCATTGTTAATTTCTGCCTAAGAAAAATATAAAGTCAGCAGTATTTACTACAATGTATATGTATTATGTATTTATTTGGAATCCTATTCACAAAATATTCATTTATACTTACAAAACTTTATTTTTATTTTATCTAGTTATCTAAAAATTGAAATTTTATTTTTTATTTATTAGTTAAGTGGTTTCTAGACAATTATTGTTGACTCACAAAGATTATTATCAGTCAAGATTTTTCGACTTAATTGATGTCTCAATGATCTTGAGTCAAATTCATTGTCTCAATCAATTATAATATCACTTTGTATCTCAATTTAAAAGACATTACAAACGTCACAACAAGACATTAAATCATTCCTTAATATTACATTCGATTAATTGTAAACAATTGCAAATTTATTTATTTATTATTGTCGAAAATATTACGCACGAAAATGATAGAAACATTTTGGGGTCAAAAATGAACCAAAAGATTGTGATCGAATTTTGTATAGGGTCCGCTAAATAACTTTATTTTTTTACAATTTACTGAATATTTTCTAAAGTTTCTTTTTCTATTTGAAAGTACAATCCTTTCAGTTAATAATGAAATTAATTCAGTTAATAATTTAATTCAAAAATGAAGAAAAAAAGCCTCGGCTGACCGTTGAAAAAAAAATGAAAATGAAAATGAAAAATGTTAGATGGCATACTCTATAGCTCAATTTGTGCAATTTTAGAGTATATCGAGCTGCTGTAGAGTTATGTTTTGTTAGAAGACATTGTAGATTATTCAATTCTGAAGAAGTTTGCTATATAAACTTAGGACAAACGGTTTAAAAGTTACGAGAGATATAATAAACAAATGCACATACAAATTTAAGTAGCTCTTGCTGAATCGTTCTACCAAATTACTTATCTATTTTCAAATGTAATTTTGAAGTACACCGAGTTGTTATAGGGTTTTATAATATTAGAAAATGTTGTAGATTATTTAATTTTAAACAAATTAGCCAAATATTTTATCAATCAAACAAACGGTTTAAAAGTTACAAGAGTTTTAACCAAATGAATGCACGGATCGATTATTAGGATTTTTTTGCTATTTTTGCAGGTAGCTTAACTATTTTCAAATGCTATTTTGAAGTATATCCAGTTGATCGAGGGTTTTATTATATTAGAAAATATTGTAGATTATTTAATTTTGAACAAGTTTGCCAAATATTTTATAAATTTTGGACAGACGGTTTAGAAGTTACAAAAGCTACACTGAACAAATGCACTAGGGAATGCAATACCGGTATACCGAATTACCGGTAAACCGCCCGATTTTTCGGCGGTAATTTTACCGGTATTTACCCCAAAAATACCGGTATTTTCGGTATTTTTACATAAGCGCTATTTGATACAAAATACACTAAAGTTTAAATTTCTCGGAACAAATGTATCTTTAAATTTCATAATCGCATAAACAGCTATATCTTCAAGTGATTTGGTCTTTCTTACTCATAAGTTCGTTTTTGGTGAAAAGTACTCAATATAGCGATAATGAATTAATTAAATTGGATATAATTTTGTTAATTATTAGTTAAAAAATAAACTTATTGTTTTATTTTATTGTTCTTATTATTTAGTTGAATATAGTTGTAGTTGTATATACATTTTTTATATTTGTACTAGTAACTTTTAATTTTGTTTACGTTTGTTTAAGATAATAAAAATACCGGTAATTTACCGGTATTCCGGTTTTCTAATGAAAATTACCGGTATTGAAATTTTCCATCGGTATTGCATAACCTAAAATGCACATACAAAGATTAAGTAGCTCTTACTGTATCTTTCTACCTAAATTACTTATCTGTTTTCAAATGTGATTTTAAAGTACACCGAGTTGCTGTAGGATTTTATAATGTTAGAAAATATTGTAGATTATTCAATTTTGAACAAATTAGCCAAATATCTTATCAATTTTGGACAAACGGTTTAAAAGTTACAAGAGATACAATAAACAAATGCAAAACCAAAAAAAAACACTAGCTGAGTCGTCTTACTAAATTACTCATCTATTTTCAAATGTGATTTTAAAGTACACCGAGTTGATGTAGGATTTTATAATGTTAGAAAATATTGTAGATTATTGAATTTTGAACAAATTAGCCAAATATTTTGTTTATTTTAGACCAAGGGTTCAAAAGTTACAAGAGTTGTGATAAATAAGTGCGCAAGCGTATTATTCGTTCTCCATTCAGAGCAAACGCCTAAAATAGTTACTTGATTTTCAAATGCGATTTTAAAGTATACCGAGTGACTTTAGAACGATATGATGTTAGAAAATATCGTAGATAATTTAATTCACTACGATTTTCCTTAATATATTATTTACAGTAGACGAACTGTTAAAAAGTTACAAGAGTTACAACAAATAAATGCATAAATTCATTACACTATTATATTTGCTGTACTATAAACAGTACACAGACTTAATACGTCTATATATCAATTTCATTTTTCGTTTCTATTATATTACATACAATTTCCTTTCATTTGCATGACTTTTATATATATTTGTTTAAATAAATTAAATTGTATTCGCGTCAATAATCAAAATTTGCCGCGCGTCAAAAATGTCAATTCGAGGCGAATGAGGTCAATTGGTTCGTTAGATGGAACATTCGATGGCGTAATAGTTTAAATATCCATCAAATTCATTCAAAGTTTTAACTATAGATGACGTCACTAGTTTTGTAAATTGATAAATTGAAATAACTGCAAAATACTAGGTGTAGGTGGCATTTTGCCCTAAAGTATAAATGATTACTTTTTTCCATACCGTAGGTATGGATGAAATTTTAAACTCTGAAAGTACTTATTTGTATAATTTTACACTCATTTGTATTTATAACACATTTTTTTTATTTTTTATATCAAATTAAACAAAACTAGTGGGGCGCATGGCATCGTGCCTTAAGGCAAATTGCTGGAACTTCCCGTACCAAAAAATATTTTTTTAAAAAAAGATTAACATTTTTGAAAAAAATTTACTCTGAAAAATTAGACTTTTGAGAAACTATAAATTTTTGACAAAAATTTACTTTATTTTGAAAAAAATACTTTTTGAAGAAAAGTGTATTTTGAAATATTTTGGAAATTCTGAACTTTTTTTCAAAGCAATTGTACTGCTTTAATTGCATAGAGACGAAATATCGAAGCGCGTAAGCGCCGCGCTGCCGTTTAACGGATGAACATTGGTACGGAACCCATAGGAATGTAAACAATATTTATACTTATTGTTAAAATCTGTATAAAATATCTGATAATTTGATGTGCATATGTCAAATGATCATTTTTGACTGCCAGATGTCATTTTTTTTTACTTTTGTCACTAGATCTCCGAAACCGCTAGACCTGCCTTTATGATTAGTTCTTCATCTTGTTGCAAAATGTTTAAACCAAGCAAAATGTTTTTTGAATTATTCAAATCGGACGCTTCGTTCTCTTAAAAACTGAGTTACCGTTTTTGGCACTTTTTGCCCCATATCTTCGGAACGACTAGACCTGCCTTTGCCAAAAACTAATCAGCACGTCTTCTTATCAATACGAATCGAATGTTCGTTCCCGAATTCGTCGACGAAAATTTGTATCCGAACATACATACACACACACACATACATCCATTTTTTCTAAGGTATGCCAAAATATTCAGAAACCTCTAAAACGTAAAGATATAATAAAAATTTTCATTTTCGATTTTTTTGCTATTACTATAACTTGCCCTATGGAAAGTTAAAAAAATAATTAAAAATATTTTGGCATCATTTTGAAATTAATCCTATATTTTTCTAATATATAATTATGACATTTAAAATTTCAGTAAAACCACGTTAACATGATCATGCTTAATAATAACGCATAATACGCTTTTGTTAACAGAAATTTGCATTTTCAAACATATTGCTTCCATCCCGCATAATACGCTTTTTATTATTACCGTATATATATATATATATATATATATATATATATATATATATATATATAAAGAAGAGTTACCGTATTTATTATTTTCTGTCCTATAATTAAGTACTATTATTTTCGTAATAATTAATATTATTTACACTCATTTTATATATATATTTTTTTATTTTCAGGGGTTGAACGCCTACAAACCCACCGATTGCTCCAGAGCAGTATTACTTAATAATAATTTAATAATAAATTAATAAAAATTAATATTTATACTAAAAGCCAACTATTAACAAAACTAATAACTGTGATTACTAAATATTTAATTAAATTAAAATAGAATTATATTAATACAGAAAGTGGAAAGCTTGCAAACGCACAAACTTTGAAAAAGGACAATTTAAAATAAAAATAGTAATAAATAAATTTTAAAAATATTTTGTGAGAATATTTGTTAAAAATTATCAAATATAGTAGCAATTATTAAAAGCAATTATTGAATATAGTAAACAAGATACTGAAAAATTTTGAAACATATGCTATAAATAAATTTGAATTGTGAAAAAAATATTAAAAATTTTTGTGACAAAAGTTTATTAAAAATCAAAAGTTATTAACATATTATATAAAAGTTTATAAAAATTTTAACTACTACTAATATTTATATTAATACTTATTTAAAAAATCTAAGGAAGATAATTTAAATTCCAAGTGCAAGTGTTTTTTTTAACAAAATTTCTATATAATTCTATTTACAATGAGGTCCGAACAAAGACGTCTAAATTCCTTCCTAATCTTGGCAACAATCTTCATTTGCCACATTTCAATTTCCCTCACAAATGCCGCCATTTTGGAGACATCATCCCAAACGACGACAGCGCCATCTCTTGATGAAAACGTGAAGATCGAAAATCCAAAATGTGAAGAAGCCGAAGGCAACAAGTTCACCTGGGCGGATTATTCCGTCCTGGCAACTATGTTAATAATATCATGTGGAATTGGGCTGTTTTATGGCTTTGTGGGGCCCAAACAGACGACCAGCACTGATTTTTTGCTTGGCGGATCTGATATGGGCACTTTGCCTATGTCTATGAGTCTCACAACAAGGTAGGGGAAAGGACATATATTAATAGTGTATTTTATTACATAGTTTGGAATTCAAAACAATATACAAAACCATTTAAAATTACATATGTGCCTATAATTATGAAAGTGGTCTAAGTCAAAATTTAAAAAAAAAATGAGTTTATCAGTTATTTCATACCACATTAGTTTAAACTAAATGTATTCAATGTAATTTTTACGAAATTGCCAAAAATGAACCATTAGATAGTGGTTGTAATTTCAACATTATATGGAATTCATTTAGTGTTAATCATGAAAGTGGTCTAAGTCAAAAATTTTTGGTATCAGGTCATTCCTTTCTACCGAATGATCGTGATTTTGGGTTGATAGAAATGAAAATAAAAAAAGCAAATTACTTATACAACCCTCAGTATTATTATGAATTGATAGAAAAGTGCAGAAGAAGCAATACATTTTCGATAAAGCGAATGTCGCAGCCGGATTTTATTTCAACGAAATCAATAGAAGATACAATAACAAGAATAGTAAAAAATACCGCGGGCGAATCTGTCTTTTGGCTACAAATTCAATGGATGAGATTCTTGAGAAATGAACCTTATAAAATTTTTTATGTTTTATAAAACTTCTTTAGATGATTCTACATTTCACGGTTTGGATCTTTCATCTAAAAGAGAAAGACCAAAAATATACGGAAGTATTAAATTACTTCCATTATACACCAGCATTAGACTAGTATCGGAAGAAAAAATAAAGATATTATGAGTTTACTACCGTACATCCCTCCAGTTTTTCAGGAACATTTTAGGAATCTTAAATACTCGAAATAGTGATAAAAATGGATTACCGTTTAAAAATAATTAATAAATGCTCACGAATCATTTCAATAAAATTATTGTTTCAAATAAAACTCAATTTTTTTATTGCTTTAAGTCATTTATAGGACATTCAGTTAATTTTGAAAATGGTCTAAGTCAATTCAAACTTTAAAAATAATATTATCGTATGAAATTCACACAAAATTTCATATTCATAATAAATTTACATTAATTAAGGCTAATAAAATTAAAAATTAAAATGTCGCATAATGAAAAAATATTTTTTAATTTATTCAAATGCAAATCATTAAATATCTCAAAACAAGAAATATATGACTTAGACCACTTTTATAATTATGGGCACATATATGAACATAATGCAACCAAAATATTGCTATAAGAATCCCTAAACTTAAGTTAATATTCCTTCTCTTCTACCAATCACCTTGATTAAATAAATTATCTATTCTATTTCTATTCGATACATACATTTAATGCTTATTATTCTTTCATCTTTTTAATAAATATATTGCAAAAATGCTTTCAAATTTATGACTATCATTTATATAATTTTTTTGGTTTGCTTTTATATATCAGTCCTAATTCCATTTATACGCTAAATGTTCATAATTGAATTACAAGTTTAACACTATGCTTTGGAAAAAATACTAATTTCTAATAGATATAATTTATAGATATTTTATATACATTTTTATATTCTATTTTATTCAATTGCTAGCAATAGAACCCAATTTTAACCCAATAGGGAATGCAGTTTTATGCCCAATAGGGAATGCAATACCAATGGAAAATTTCAATACCGGTATTTTGGTATTTTTTCATTTTAAAACCGGAATACCGGTAAATTACCGGTATTTTTATTATCTTAAACAAACGTAAACAAAATTGAAAGTTACTAGCACAAATATAAAAAAAATGTCTATACGACTACAACTATATTCAACTAAACAATAAAAGCAATAAAATAAAACAATAAATTTATTTTTTAAATAATAATTTTAACAAAAATATATCCAATTTAATTAATTCACTATCACTATCGAGTATATCGAGTACTTTTCACCAAAAACAAACTTATGAGTAAGAAAGACCAAAAACTTATAAAAGATCATATTACATTATTATAATAAACTGTATTGTCTGTATCCGATGTGTTAAATTAGCATAATCTCCAATATTTTAAAAAAATAATTTTTCTACACTTATTTAAGATCGGATACTTTGTCGAGATAAATAATAAGTTACTATAATTGTTGAGTATTGTTATTTAAAACAGTGTGATGCTTCTATAGTATTTTCAAACTTCGAAACGTTTTCGAAAAATAATATTTTATAATTGTAATAAGAAGCAAAAATATTTAGTAATTATCGTAATTATTATGTATAAAGTTAGAAAAAATAAAGATTACGCAGGGGTAATCTGTATGATATAAAATATTTTGGCGCAAATATCACTTAAAAAAGCGTTACATTTTTACATAAGATGAAACAAACATCATAATCTATAAGTCCAATTCTATTTATTGTAACACGATATGAAGCCCTTAGTAAAGCAATAAATATATTCAGTTTAATGACGAGTTGAGATAGTATTTGACATTTGTTTATCTTATAGAATCACTTGAAGATATAGCTGTTTATGCGATTATGGAATTTAAAGATAAATTTGTTCCGAGAAATTTAAACTTTAGTGTATTATGTATCAAATAGCGCTTATGTAAAAATACCGGTATTTTTGGGATAAATACCGGTGAAAATACCGCCAAAAATCGGGCGGTTTACCGGTAATTCGGTATACCGGTATACCGGTATTGCATTCCCTAATGCCCAGTTAGTGAAACTATTTTTATAATTTATTGAATATTTTTTCTCTAGTTTTATTACGGCGATAGAGCTCCTGGGGAATCCTTCAGAGATGTACGCCTACGGCACCCAATACTGGCTAATCTGCCTGGCTTTCCCCATAGTTTTGCCCATTGCTGGAAGTGTCTTTTTACCAGTTTTCTGCAAACTTAGACTAACATCTTGCTACGAATATTTAGGACTAAGATTCGACAGAAGGTTAAGGATTTTAGCAAGTGCCATGTACGTTGGCCAGATGATCCTTTATACCTCGGTTGCTGTCTATGCACCTGCCTTGGCATTAAGCCACGGTAAGTAATAGTCTTTTAAAATACACCCAGTTGATATAGGTGTTTATAATGTTAGAAAATATTATTATTTATTTAGTTTTATACAAGTTGTCTGAATATTTTATAAATTTTGGACAAACAGTTTAAAAGTTACATGGGATACAATAAACAAATGCACAAACCAAGATTAAGTAGCTCTTGCTGCATCGTTCTGCCTAGATTACTTATCTATTTTCAAATGCGATTTTAAAGTATACCGAGTTGGTGTAGGGTTTTATATTGTTAGAAAATATTGTAGATATTTAATTTTGAACAAATTAGCCAAATATTTTATTTATTTTGAACAAACGGTTTAAAAGTTACAAGAGTTGTAATAAACAAAGATTAGTTGTTCTACCAAATTAGTTATCTATTTTCAAATGCGATTTTAAAGTATACCGAGTTGGTGTAGGGTTTTATAATGTTATAAATTATTGTAGATTATTTAATTTTGAACAAATTTGCCAAATATTTTATTTATTTTGGACAAAGAGTTTAAAAGTTACAAGAGATGCAATAAACAACTTGGCATTAAGCCACGGTAAGTAGGAATCTTCTTATATATAAAAATGGAGCTCTCGATAAAATGATCCGCTAAAACTCGAAAACGGCTAAACCGATTTGGCCAGTCTTAATTTTGAAAAATTCGTGCCAATCAGTAGGTTGTCGGAAAGGTGAGAAATTAATTCAAAATCGCGTAGAAACTTTACATTTTCAATTTGAAAATTTTTGTAGAAGCTTAATTTGAAACAATGGACGACGGCTAATACGTCAAATGTCAAACTTTTTGACAGATGATGTTTAATTACGTTTAATAGGATGTTTACGTGGATTTTATTTAATTATGGTTAAATTGCAGTAAGAAGATTTGTTTGTAGTTTTATTTATACGCAAAAACGTTATTAAATGGGCCGAAAGTGTTACCGGAAATTCAAATTATCACCTTGTTTGAAATGTTAATATGAAAATGCACTTTTTGGAGTTGTGATACTCTTTTTTTGCAAATCATATTTTTCTCAAACACGGTGCTGTGAAAGATCTCATTTGTATAATTACATACTCATTGGTATTTATAAAACATTTTCTAGGTTATATTATTTTTTATTTATGTTATTTAAATTTAGAACCTAAATTTGGTATTGATCAAAGGGACATTTTGTCGAATTACATTTTCCCAGTTATAATTTCCCAGAATTTATCGAAGAATAGAAGTAATATATGAACGTCCGGGGTTAAAAAGGTCCACCATCGATGTGTCAAAAACCAGTAAAGTTAAGCATTGTTTAACAACAATATTTGGAAGTAGAGGAAAAATGTATAACCAGCTATGACCTTGATTCTTATGACTTTGCTATCGGGAGATAAACGGTAATCTTTGAAAATCCATAATAAAAGTATTTTCTTCCGTTGGTAGTTTTTTAGCATTAGTTAAGAATGTAATTATTTTGTAAAATACCTTTAAAATTAAAATAAGACATTAAACCTGTTTGCCACCTGGCTGTTCTAAGTTATTCGGTCTGTGGGTCGTAAAAAGGTCTAGATAATAAATTTTTGAAAGACACCAAAAAAGCACATTTCTACAATGATGAAGTAGCTGGCAGTTTTGCTGAACGTAGTCAGATAATTGTTCGTTTGAACGGTGTTATTTGTTGTGATATAATCGTTATGGTTTTCACAATATAGTTTATATTTGCTCAAAGTGAAATTGGATCTTTGTGCCTCGCCCTGCTCTACATATATATTTTTTATTAAATTTACTTTAGTTCATCGCATGTTACTTGAAACTTTTCAAAAAGCAAGTCAAAGAAGAAATACTTAATTCATTTTCTATCTCTCCTTGCAGAAATTTGAAAAATTTGTATAAGCTCAGTAGTATTTTTTACGATTATACACAAAATCCAGAATCCAAAAAGAAACTGAAAGACTTGAAACGTAATCATAATAAGTCGAAAGACCAAAAAAGACGTGGATTGGATTATACCATGTTTTCTATAGAGAGTGTATAAAACTTTTAGTTTGATTGTATTGACAAAATATAAACAAACTAATGGGGTTTATTGTTTTCATAATACCTCATTGTATATAGCATTCAAACAATACATCCTTATACACTAAAGTATTAATATTTTTGATTCTCTAGAAATTGTTTAGAATATACCTTACTTAGCAAAACAACGTTTGCCGGGTCAGCTAGTAGTAAAATAAAATTGTGTTTGTTATCTGATTCATTTTCCTTTTTCCAGTTACTGGTCTGAACACCTACATAGCAGTGACCCTGGTCTATGCAGTTTGCATCTTTTACGCCTCTCAAGGAGGAATGAAAGCTGTGATTGTGGCCGACAGTTTCCAAACTGCAGTTTTGATGCTGAGTTTAATTGTTATTTTGTGCCTGGGACCGACGATTGCAGGAGACGAAAATGCCAAATGGTACAATGTTTGGAAATCTGCTGCAGACACTGGCAGGATGGACTTCTTGAAGTAAGAAACTAAATATAGTACATATTTATATTTTTTGCATCATGTGGTGGTCAAATAAAAATGCTTCCTTAAAATTACTCAGTTTATTTTAAATATTACTTGTTTCACGGTTCAGCAAGAAGAGGGTTATTTTACATAGTTTTAACATAAACATAAATATAAGATGGCGGATACATAGAGTAGGGAAACAGTATTGCCAACGTCACTACTATTAGATTCGAATGGCGGGACATTTGAATTACAAATATATATATAACATTACATTTGATATTACATAAGAAAAAATGTGACAAACAATTTTGTCCATGTGGCTTAAGGCTTATTCCTCGATGTCCGAAATGTAGGACATCAAAAATGATTATAAAACTTTATAAAGAACTAGTTGAAAGTGGCAAGTTCTTACACACTTCCCGAAATGTGTAATAATTTACCATGACTTTATCAACCGAAATTGAGATTAAGATATTTAGATAAAATTTTCAACTGTACTATTACATATATCATGTACGTAGTATTTGATATTAATAACTTCTCGAAGAAGAAATGTGTTTTCATAAAAAAATCCGATTCGCTAATTTTATGTTTCAAGTTATTCTGAATCGAATGAGACCAAATTTGGAAAGAGTATCTGTGTGTGTATGTGAACAGATTTTTTGCCATAAATCGACGTTTTCTCAAAAACGGCTGAACCGATTTCAAAAATTCAAAAGCCATTTGATGTATCTCGATGAGGACTATTGTTTGTCAGTTTTGTGCGACGATCGGCCAAGCCGTTTTTTCGTGAATAGCAGAAAAGTGAAAATTTATTCGTCCACGTTTTAGCCAGCAATTCTGAATCGATTTTGAAAATTCAAAAACCGTTCGATAGATATTGATTGGGAATCGTGCTGATTAGTTTTTGGTAGAGATCGGCCGGGCCGTTTTCTTGTAATAAAGTTTTTTTAAAAAAAAATTCGACGATTTTTGTGATTTTTTTTTGATGGTAGATAACATAGTCTCGTAGATCATACTAAAATATTACGGCCCTACGACAAGTTGTTTAGCTTTAAAAAATCGTCAAAGTTTGCAAAAATTGGTATTGTTTTTTGGTATTTGTCAAAATTAGACCTTTCATCGACGACTGCTCAAAAACGCCTGAACCGATTTCAAAAGTTTGAAAGCCATTTCATGTATCTCAATGAGGACTATCGTTTGTCAGTTTTGTGCGATAATCTGCCAAGCCGTTTCTTTGTAATTTGGAAAAAAGTGTTAAACTTTTCGTCCACATTTAAACTTATACTACCGACCCGATTTTAAAAAATCAAAAACTGTTCGAAAGATATTAGTTGGGAATGATATCGATTTGTTTTAGGTGAAAATCTACCGAGCCGTTTTCTTGTAATTAACTGTTGAAAAAAAAGTTAAGCCGAAGGTTCTACGGAAACTGGTTCAATTAAAAAATGGTTGATTTTTGAAAATTTGCTTTTAGAAAATACTCCGAGTAGACGTGTTCGTTTGTTTTCAATTATGTGTAATAAAACCACTCGGTATAATACTTCTAAACACTAATAAATTAATTTATATTTTTTTGATTAAGTCGATTATTTACACATATCGGGAAGTCCATATAACTTGCCTCAAGGCAAAATATCAATACTAACTAATTATATCCAAGTTTATTTCTCGATGTCTAAAATGGAGTCATTTTGCCTTAAAGCAAGTTGCATGAAGCTACCGATATGTGTAATAATTGACTTGATCAACCGAAATTGAGATTTAGATATTTAGATAACTGCACTCTTGCATAATATTATTTGTTGATTTAAATTAATTGTAACAATTTTTACACTTTACAATTGTTACAGTGTACAATTTTTTTAGATAAGCTTTGTAGACTTATTTTTCCGCTAATTCCAAAAACATGAACTTTAAATCACGAAAGCGATTTTTGACACAAATGTTGAATCTCATATTTTTAAAGCTTTAATAAATTAAAATTAAACGACCGATCGTAATATTTTAGTATGTTCTACAAAAATTCAACAGTTTTACGAAAAAACGGATCGAACGATTTTTGTCTAAAACTAATTAGCACAATTCCTAAATAATATAATAATATGTATATTTCGAGGTGTGTTTGAATTTTCAAAATCGAGTCAGATAGGGCAATTCTATTTTATTTGCTATGCGATTAGGGGTATTTTACATATAAACAAGCAAGGAAGAATCTTATGATAGCAGAATCTTCGACGATATATAGTTATCATAATATTCTTCCTTGCTTCGTTTATATATAAAATACGGCTGATTGTACAGCAAATGGATAGACCAGTTTAATTATTTTCACTACCAAAAGCAAGTTTTGCTACAACAATGCTATTTTATGAGCTTAGTTACTTCAGAATTGCCCCAAGAATTATGCACTAAAACGTGGACGATTTTTTTTTCTTTTCTGCTATTTACTAAGAAACGCTTGGCCGATCGTCGACCAAAACTGAAAAACGATAGCCCTTATCGAGATACATCGAATGGCTTTTAAATTTTTGAAATCGGTCCAGCCGTAAATGTCGATTTACGGCAAAAAATTTGTTCACACACACACAAACACACACATACTTTTTCCAAATTCGGTCTCACTCGTTCAGATTTTTTAGCGAATCGGATTTTTTGATTTCTCCTTCGGGAAGTTAATCAATAAAACTGCACAATAATTGATATCAATTGATATTTTATCAACTTTTTTATTTTTTTAGTTTCGATCCAAGACCGACTACAAGACATACAGTTTGGAGTGTTGTCCTTGGAGGAAGTTTTTATTGGGCGTCTATGTTCTGCACGAATCAGGCATCTGTACAGAAATACATGTCTGTGGGTTCTCTTCGACAAGCTAAACAGTAAGTAGTAATAATCAGTCAACAAACAATGAGAATCAGGTACAAAATTGAATAATCAGCTCTTGTTTGTAAGGATCTTCACTCATATCGATTCTTTGTCATGTAACTTTCCTTCAAGCAAAATGCCATTGACACTTTTTTTTTTCTTTTAGAGCCCTCTGCATAGCATGTGTAGGCCTAATCCTGGTGTTCTCAATTAATTTCTATACTGGTTTAGTAATGCATTCGCATTACGATACATGTGATCCTCTAATCACAGGAGCAGTGACTGCCAGTGACCAATTGCTACCTCTTTATGTGATGCAGGTAAAAAAAAATCTACTTTCAAATATGACATGATCGGTTTGTCATTGTAATTAGCATTTAGAAATGAACGTTTGTTAGAGGAATGAAGTAATTGCTGATTAATAAATTCTATAATATTCGTTCACACAGTGGATTACGTTAAACAACGCCTAAACAAATATTGTTTTCACAATTTCACTCATCATCATATAATATTTGTGTTTGAAGAACTTCATGTAATTAAAATTAACATACATTCATTGACTGCTTGTATTTTTTTTTTCAATTTTTCGCTTGCGATATAATCGCATTCTTTGAACAGCTGTAGTATCTAAGCATCTCTATTTTAGCTAAATTCATCAAGTATAACATATTATTTACTCTATTTTATTAATTTTATTAACTAACTAATTTAAGTACTAAATATGAATATAAAAATATATCGTTTTATAAAAAATCCAAACAATTAACTATCGGTATGCCTACAAACGTACATATGTTTTATATCAATATAATATTTTCAAAAATCTATTTTTAACGATCTCTTCAGAATTCACGACAGATCTTAGTAAGAAGTTATATAGTATATAGTATATAAATTATCATAGCCTTTTTCGAATAAAATTTTATAAGTTCATATTAAATAAAAGACAGAGTTAAATGTTAAAAAAAATTATTTAATTTTGTATATGCTCTAACAATGAGTCTACATTTGATTTAATTCATAAATACACAAACAATTTAAAATAAATGTGTATTAGTATGGCTTTATACTTCAAATATAACATAATCGGTTTGTCATTGTAATTAGCATTTAGAAATTAAATTAGAGAAATGAAGTAATTGTTGATTAATAAATGCTATAATATTTGTTCACACAGTGAACACTTTCAGCTTTACACACATCATATAATTAAAATTAACATGCATTCATTGACTGCTTGTATTTTTTTTACTTTTTCGCTGGCGATATAATCTCATTATTTGTGCATAATATCTGTCTTGCCCAAAAAATATTTTCGATTTTAATAACTTCAAAGATTTATAGAAACTACGAATAATATAGAAATATTTTCTAATCAATAAACTTACGTTTAGTACACGGCATAAATGTTTAATTTGTTTTATTATTTTTAAGGAACAGGGTAAAATATTCTTGTGATTCAGGCATTTTATATTAAATCAAGATTTGTACTACGATATAACTTTAAAATGATTATTTATCTATGCCGATTTCCTTGTTGGTATCGGTACGCATACAAAGATAGATCTCTATTCACATACACGACGTCTAATCACAATCGACCCGTATAGAAATGATTTCATCGAGAGCGAATGACGAATCATTGGCACTCGACTCGGCCGTAACGCACTTCCGTTGCATTTGTACGGAATTACACTCTAGTCGCGTCTTAAGGTTAAAAAATGCAAGGTATTTGTTTTTGTTTTTCTCGAAATGTATTGATCATAGAGACATGCTGTTTTTTTTTAAACAAAAATTACAAAATCATAAAATATTACGAAATTTTCTTTTTCTTTTTTTCGCTGTCATTTTTTAACCAGGGGGCGCCAAAGTGGGCATTGCAAAATTATCTTTTTTGCGGTGCCACAGATAAATCCGTTGCGCATCGTCTGAAACAAAAAAAAAAGAAACTACGTTGAAGAAGAAGTTTGAATCCAGTCCCCCTACCAAAATGAAAGAAACTAGCTGTAAGTGGAATTCTGTTTTAAGGCAATTATGGCATCGTGCCTTAAGACAAATTGCTGGAACTTCCCGTACCGTAACGAAATGTTTGAGGAATACTGAATGTTTTCAAATAGATTATTATAAATATTGTAACATTGTCTAATATTTATGAGAATTATATAAACTGAATTGCAGAGTTGAAATTATTTGTAAAGTATATTAGAACTATAGTCAGAATTAAAAATAAAATCTGAAATATTTTCGATATACAAAAAACTAAAAAACTAAAAAAAAAAAAAAAAAAAAAATCCAAAATAAATTATTTTGTTAAGACAAGCAGAAAGTTTTTTGAATCATTTCAATCGGACCCTTAGTTCTCTCAAAAACTGCCATTTTTTACATATTTAGCTCCGTATCTTCGAAATGGCTGGGCCTGCCTTTGCCAAAAACTAATAAGCACTTCTCCCAATCATTACTAATTGAATGTTTTTTAGATCATTCAAATCAGATACTCCGTTCTCTCAAAAATTCGATTTCTATTTTTTGCACTCTTTGCTCCGTATCTCCGAAACGGCTGGACCTGCCTTTGCCAAAAACTAATCAGCTCTTTTCCCTATTAATAGGAATCGAATGTTTTTTGAACCATTCAAATCGGTTGATCCGTGCGCCCTAAAACGTGACTGGAAATTTGTATCCATACATACATACACACACACATACACACACACACACTCACACATCCATTTTTTCTGAGGTATGCCAAAACGTTCAGAAACCTTCAAAACGTCGAGAAATGTTAAAATTTTCAATTCCGATTTTCGGCCCATTACAATAACTTACCCTACGGGAAGTTAATAAAGCAAGAAGGAAAAAAATGACAGCTATTTAAAAAAAAAGTGTTGAAAAAAGCCTTTTTTCGGGGCGAGAAGCTTCGCAAAAAATTTTTGCGTAATGTTATCAAGTTGTTTGAGGTAGGGGGACTAGATATTGCAGTGGTGAACAAATTAAAAAAAAATGCAAGTCGATCCGACTTGTGGTTTTTTTTTAATTTATGGCACCGCATTGAAAAAAGTCAATTTGAGAAAAACGTATTTAAAGTTTTTAATATAATGTACTAAATACACCATTTAATTTAATGTACTAAATACACCATGGTGTTCAAAGATGCTGACACATTAAAAAGGTCATGTGCATGAGGTATTATAATGAAAAAGAGAGCAGCTGGCATACAATAGCTCGCGGAGCGATGAAAATCATACATATAAAGATATATATATATATATATATATGTATATATATAACTTCGTCAAAAAAATAGATATTGAGATGATTTTTTTAAAAATAATTCTAAGGATTATAGCTTTCATAATATCAAAAAATCTCAAAATCGAAAAAAAAATAAATAAAAACCGGACAACCCCCTTAAGAAGTTGTTCTTCAAAAACTGAAAACAATTTTTAGTATTAAAATTGTTGGAGATTATTAATTGTTTTCTTCTTTCAGGTGTTGGGCAGTATGCGTGGTGTTGCCGGTTTATTCGTAGCAGGTATATTTGCTGCTTCTTTGGGCACAGTAGCTGCTGCTTTGAATTCCCTATCAGCAGTCACCTGTGAAGATTTGTTGAGTGCTGGGTTAGGCATCAGGATGGCTCCCAGTAAAGGCGCTTTTTGGGCCAAGTGGTTGTCTTTGGCATACGGGATCATATCTTTTGCTCTGGTGTTTGTGGTTGAACGAATGGGAGGAGTACTACAGGTAATAATGATAAAAAACTAGTGGTGTATGGCATCGTGTCTTAAGGCAAGTTGCTGGAACTTCCCATTCGAGAAATTTTAAACGTTTTCAAATATATTATTAGAAATACTGTAACTTTCATTATTTTTGCTATCTTGTTTGTTATATCTGAGCAAATCAAATGTAAATCATAAATAAATCAATTTATCTCCACTACATTAACAATCGTCATTTCATTTCGAATTCAATTAAAAATATATCCTGCCCGTAGTCACAGCCTGAACACATTTGCAAATACTTCTGTGCAACATTTTTACTTATACTGTGCTTAGCTTGGCAGCATTTTCACATTTTTCACAAAATTCGAAAAGTGCTCCAGTGCATAAACAGTCTAAACGCACATGAGTAAACATTTGTACCAGAGTGGCGCTTAGACTGTGCTTAGCCTGGGTAATTTGTTGAATTTCCAATCCAAAATTACAAAAATATTTTATGTAAAATAAAAAAAGATGTTAGAATTTTTTATCCTCAAAAGCAATTGTTTTGTCAGCTCTATTTCTATTTTCTGCACTCTTTGTTCCGTATCTCCGAAACGGCTGGAACTGCCTTTGCCAAAAACTAATCAGCACATCTCTGTATCAATAGGAATCGAATGTTTTTTAAACCATTCAAATCGGTTGATCCGTGCGCCCGAAAACGTGGACGAAAAAATGCGCACATACAAAACACACACACACACACATCCATTTTTTCTGAGGTATGACAAAATGTTCAGAAACCTTCAAAACATGGAGAAATGCAATAATTTTCATTTTCGATTTTCGACCCATTACTATAACTACCCTACGGGAAGCTAAAAAAGAACCAATAAAGTGATATAATAAGTAACAATTGCCTGGTTTAACAATAAATGAATATAATGTGATGTTTACTGTTTATTTTATATTATTTATACATTCTTTTACATATTTGAGAAGAATATTTTATAACCTTTTTCCTAATATTTAAATTCAATTTAAGAAATGTTTATATTTCATTGATTATTATTACATTTTCGACTATAAATTGCAATGTTTTCCTTTGTGAATCAGCATGTGTGTTTTCAGATTATCCAATCGTGTGAATGTCTTATTACAAACATTGCATCCATGAGGGCGTATTTCTTTGTGAATTTGCATGTGACGTTTGAGACTTCCTGACTCCGTGAATGTCTCATTACAAACATTGCATCGATGAGGGCGTATTCCTTCGTGAATCAGCATGTGTGTTTTCAGATTATCGAATCGTGTGAATGTCTTATTACAAACATTGCATCCATGAGGGCGTATTTCTTTGTGAATTTGCATGTGACGTTTGAGACCTCCTGACTCCGTGAATGTCTTATTACAAACATTGCATCGATGAGGGCGTATTCCTTTGTGAATTTGCATGTGACGTTTGAGACCTCCTGACTCCGTGAATGTCTTATTACAAACATTGCATCGATGAGGGCGTATTCCTTTGTGAATAAGCATATGACGTTTGAGACTTCTCGACTCCGTGAATGTCTTATTACAAACATTGCATTGATGTGGGCGTATTCCTTTGTGAATTTGCATGTGTTTATTCAGATTACTTGATTGTGCGAATGTCTTGTTGCATATAAGGCATTCATGGGGGCGTTCGCCACTATGCAAAAGCATGTGAGTTTTAATATAACCTTTTCGTTTTATAGTCTTATGACAGATTTCGCATTTTAAAGGGCGTTCTTTGCTATTACCAGACTTGTGATCGACCATATGCTCTTTTAATAGATCAGATTCTGCAAATGATTGATCACAAATGTCACATTCATAAGCTGCTGGCTCGACTAACTCCTGTTTCACTCCTTCTTCGATAGTCACTTCAGAGTTCATGAATCTTTCTAAACAGGTATCATAATCCTCAGAACACGAGTCAGATTTAACAATATCATCAGAAACATCAATATCATTCTGAATTTCATGTTTAGTGTCGGCTAACTCCTGTTTGACATCTTCATACTTAACAGTATCATCAGAAACATCAATATCATCCTGAATTTCGTGTTTAATGTCTTCTTCTGAATATTCTGGCGGTTCAATTTTGATTGCCGGATTATTCATTGACATAAATGTTTCTTCTGACATTTTTAAATATTTTTACTGCTTATACTCACTTAAGAAATAATTGAAATAATTCCAAAATAGGCGTGGGCTAAATAATAACCTAGTTCTAGTTTAAGCAACAATCCTTTTCAATTTCAATACCACAACCCTAGACAATATAATAATAAGACCACAACTGATTTCTGCTTAAAATATATTTATTATTTGACATGTGGAGCATAGAGTATACTTAGAGAAAGATGAGACACTTCTCATATCGCTTTCGCATTTAACAATGGCGCGCATTTTCAAATTCATTATGTTTCTCTGTGTCTAAACTATGTTATTAAATAATATTAATTTTACAAACGTTTTGAGACTTGGTTTGTCTCATCATCGGTGTATTATAATTTAAAATTTTAAGACCATTTAAATAAAATTTTCAGCAGCAGAAAAACAGAATTAAATACAAAAAATATAAACCAATAGAAAGTATACACAAATAAATTGTAATAAAAAATTAAATAAATAAATAGAAAATTACATAGATAGAAATATAGATAGATAAATAGATAATAAAATAACTAACTAGAAAAATAACTAGTTGAATACATAGATAAATATATAACTAAATAAGTAGATAAATACATATAAAAAAAGTAGGGTATATGGCATCGTGCCTTAAGGCAAATTGCTGGTACTTCCCGTACCGTAATGAAATATTCGAGAAATTTTAAACGTTTTCAAATATATTATTACAAATACTGTAACTTTCATTAATTTTTCTATCTTGTTATATCTGAGCAAATCAAATGTAAATCATAAATCATAAATCATTTTATCTCCAGAACATTAACAATTGTCATTTCATTTTGAATTCAATTTCAAAAAATAGTTTAGTTGCCTAATTTACACAAATTTGAAAAAGTGCACCCGTATAGACAAAGTCTAAACGCATTTACAAATAATTCTGTGCGACATTTTTACTTATACTGTGCTTAGCTTGGCGGCATTTTTACATTTTTCAATAGTTTTAACAAAGTTGTAAAAGTGACCCAGTACATAAACAGTCTAAACGCGCTTGGGTAAACATTTGTACCAGAGTGGCGCTTAGACTGTGCTTAACTTGGGTATTTTTTTTAATGTTTGATCCAAAATTACAAACATATTTTATGGAAAATAAAAAAAACATGTAATAATTTTTTATCCTCAAAAGCAATTGTTTTGTTGAAACAAGCAGAAAGTTCTTTGAATCATTTACATCGGACGCTTAGTTCTCTCAAAAACTACCATTTTTTGCAACTTGCCTTAAGGCTAAATGCCACTTTCAACTAGTTATTTTTTACTACCATGTGTCTATTACCTTTTAGGTTGCTTTGAGTTTCAACGGCATGGCAGGTGGTGTAACACTTGGTCTATTCACCTTAGGAATGTGTGTACCTAGGGCAGTCTCTCGAGGAGCCCTTTGGGGAGCCGCTTGTGCCCTAGGGCTTGTCCTGTGGTTAGGTTTAGGCGCACAAATTGCTGGTGAGCCTACGCCGTTTCTACCAGGGGATATACATGGGTGCGAATGCTTGAATGCTACTGTTGTCGTAATCGAGCACATCACAAAGAGGTAATTAACTTCCCGAAGGAGAAGTTTATGTTTTCATCAAAAAATCCGATTCGCTAATTTTATGTTTTCTCGACGTTTCAAGCCATTCTGAATCGAATGAGACGTGTGTGTGTGTATGTGAACAGATTTTTTGCCATAAATCTACGTTTTCTCAAAAACGGCTGGACCGATTTCAAAAATTTAAAAGCCATTCGACGTATCTCGATGAGGACTAGCTTTTCTCAATTTTGTGCGATGATCGACCTAGCCGTTTTTTTGTAAATAGCAGAAAAGTGAAAAATTTTTCGTGCACGTTTTAGCCCGCAATTCTGAATCGATTTTAAAAATTCAAAAAACCGTTCGAAAGATATTGGTTGGGATTCGTGCTGGTTAGTTTTGATAGAGATCGGCCGGGCCGTTTTCTTGTAATAAAGTGTTAAAAAATTTTTTTTGACGATTTTTATGATTATTTTTTTGAAGGTAGATACCATAGTCTTCTAGATCATACTAAAATATTGCGGTCTACGATAAGTCGTTTAACTTTAAAAATTCGTCAAAATTTCGAAAAATTAGTATTGTTTTTTTGTCATTGTCAAAATTAGAACTTTTATCGACGTTTGCTCAAAAACGCCTGAACCGATTTCAGATATTTAAAAAGCATTGATGTATCTCGATGAGGTTTGTTGTTTCTCAGTTTTGTGCGACGATTGGCCGAGCCGTTTCTCTGTAATTTGCAAAAGAGTGTTAAATTTTTCGTCCACATTTAAGCTCAAACTACCAAATCGATTTTAAAAAATCAAAAACTGTTCGAAAGATATTTGTTGGGAATGATACTGATTTGTTTTAGGTGATAATTTACCGAGTAGGGTTTATACAAAAACCGACATTTTAGAAAACCGGTTTTCGAATTGTGAATTTTCCAGAAAACCGGTTTTAGCCGATTATATAAAAAACAATTTTTGCTTGAGTATTCTGTAATAACAAAAAAAATATCAGAAAATTTAGTGTGATTTCAATATGTTTTTGACTGAATTTATTTAATGTTCTGTTTTATGAATAGTAAACAAATTTATTTTAATTAGGAAAATAATTGATCTGGATTAAATAACTTTGAAAATGAATATTCGATATTCATGTGAAAATGATTAACATATGAGAATATAAATGAAAATAACGCACTTTTAAATAAAAAACATTTAGATACATGTTGATTAGGGTTTGCCGGTTTTCAAAAACCGTTTTTTTGGCAAAAATTATGGAATTCGAAAACCGGTTTTTTAGTGAAAAAAGTCGGTTTTTACTGTATAAATGGAAAATGACAAATATAACCAAATATAAAGATAGATGAAAGCGTTTTGATACTTGAAATCATATCGGTTCAATAGCATTTGATATCTTATCAGTCTGCAATGCAATGGTTCCCAGAAAGGTTTTGTTTATATTAATTTAGATTTTTATACCAGTGTATATATTAATTTAAATCAGTTGAAGAAGTAACTTCCTCTACTCAAACTTAAAAAAAGAGTTTTAAACCCTAAACTTAGAATTATTATATTAGGCTTTAAAAGCAATTAAGCATAATTTGGTCGCAAGTATGAGAATATTTTTTATTTCAGAAAATTTTGTGAGTAAACAAAAGTTTTCAGTTTTTTAAAATCATATTTTATTAAACAAAAAAACTTTTAGAATGTTTAAAATTAATTAATTAAAATTGCTCGGAACAGACAATACTCGAGTTTAGCTTAATTGTTTTTGAAACTAAAATTAATATTAACAAGTATGTATCTAATATTTTTTTATTTCTTTTTTAATTTGAAGCATTTTTTAATTTAAAAATGTATTATTTTTATTTATTCGAAAACTTTTCTTTTTCCAATCTTATATGTGAAAATGATGCATGAATAACGAATAATTATTTTCAAAATTATCTAATCAAAGTAAACTATTATTTTTTAGTTCTACTAATTAAAATTAAAATAATTTTGTTTACAATTTATAAAATTGAACAATAAATAAATTTTGTCAAATACTGTTCTAAATTACACTAAATTTGCGGAAGAATTACATAATATTTGCGCAAAAATTTATTTTCTATATAAAATTCGAAAAACGGTTAAAACCGGGTTTTTAGTAAAATTGAAATTCGAAAACCGGTTTACAAAAAGGGTTTATACAAAAACCGGTTAGGTTTTTGTATAAACCCTACTAAATACCAATACCAACTAGTTTTTTTTTTCAGTGATGCCAAAAGTTCTTCATCAATCTACAACGTGTCGTACTTGTGGTACAGTGCCTTAGGATGCATGACGACTGTCATTGTCGGAGTTATCGTATCAGAAATCTCAAGGTACGTCTTCCAACCCTTAACCCTTTTGTTACAAGAATATTTTTTACCCCAATTGTCTATTATTACCAGGTTGATCGGCCTGGAAACAGACGTAGAACCAACTCATACCGATCTGCTGAGTCCACCAGCCAGATGGTTCACATCATCTCCAGATGCCAAAGTTAATGGTACGGAACTCAATGCAGCAAGTGGTGTCAAAATCGACAGTGCCACCGGTAAAAGATCGAATTATGGTGGTGAGACCAATTTGGCACTCAGTTTGGACGAAAATCCAGAAGTCGCGAGGCATATATAGAAGTAATAAAGTGAGTGGTATAGTTTTTATAATGGACAAAAATAAAATATGAACCAGTTAAACAAAGACTCTCAAGCCAAATATTGTTCTTTTTGATAATCTCATTTATATTTAATTTAAAATTAGGTTTTTTAAGTTTGTGCGTTTGAAAGCTTAGCTCATAGTCGCTAGATTAGATTTTAATAAACGCTTAGTAGTTGTAGGTATATAAATTAGAAATTAAAATTAAAAAAAGTATTATGTAGATTAAAAATCGAACTTAGAGTTTAGTATTGATATTTATATGTATTAAATGCATGATTGTACAATTTGAAATATATAAAATTTGAAAGTTTAAACTTTATTCTCATCGTGTACAATTCATCAATCATTCGAGAATCACAACATTCATTTTAGACATATAAATATAAACTATTAATATAAATAAAATTCGATTTCAATTTCAATGATGAAATGATATTATATATGCAATATAAATAATATTATTAATTTCTTTCTCAGGTTCATATATTAGCTAAAGATTTTTGCATTATAATAATTTTTTGCAACCAGGACTAAAAAATTTGTGTTTATTATTCTTGTGAAGTGATTTTAGCCTAACCAGGTAAACAGGTGCTGATCTTTTTTTATTTTTTACCTTCCCTTAGGGTAAGTTATAGTAATCCTAAAAAATCGAGAATAAAATTTTTTGCATATCTTTACGTTTTAAGGTCTTCTGAACATTTTGGCATACCACAGAAAAAATGGATGTATGTGTGTGTATGTATGTATATATGTGTGAGTGTGCGGAAACAAATTTTTGTCGACGATTTCGGGAACACGGGTCAACCGATTTGAATAATTTAAAAAACATTCGATTCGTATTGATAAGGAGACATGGTGGTTAATTTTGTTTCCTCGATAGTTTGTATCGCGATTGTTTTGGAAAAAAAGTCAAAATTTCCAAAATATTCCCAAGTTAAAAAAAATATTTTTTTTCAAAAAACTCAATTTTTTTCATAAATGTTAAAAACCTCCAAAATCGGGTTTTTTCAGAGTTCTAAAAGAAAATTGAATCTTTTTTAAATATCTTAATTTTTGGCGCGGGACCAATATTATATAAAAGTATTTATACAAATTTGTAAATTCTTTGATGTAATAATAAAATAATCATTTTAATTTAGTTTTTATTCTTATTCATTTTGGAACTGTTGAATATTTCTATTCTTCAATTAACGATTTTTTCAAGATTTCTATTTTCTTAACATTTTCAACTATAATTTTATTACATCTTCTAACTCATAGAACTTTTTTATTTCGTAGACTGAAAAATTATAAAATAGTAAAAAACATCTAACGTACGAAAGTAAAAATTGTATATTTCTTTTGTACAACAGGAATGAGTATTATTATACTGCGTATAATATGTATTAACAATTAATAATCATAATAATAATAATAATAATAATAAATAAATATTAATTATAATAAAATAGTAAAAAGCTAAATAAGCTTTTAGAAGTTTGAATTGTGCTCATAATTGGTCGATCGAATAAAAGAATTATTTATATATATATATATATATATATATATATATATTAGGGTGGTCCTTAAAATGGTCATTTTCGAATTTCCTTGCTCCCAGGGGCTCAAATGGTTCCAAATAGATAAAAAACAATTCTCTGAAAATTTTAGCTCTTAATATTAACGTTTAGATAGAGCGCAATTCAATCAAAGTTTTGTATGGAAATAGCATGAAAAATTTTCAAAAATTTTAAAAATGTTTTTTAAATGTAATTTAGCGAACAAATGAATGAATAAAACTCATTCATTTGTCGCTAAGTTATACTTAAAACATTTTTTTTTAATTTTCAAAAATTTTTCCATGCTCTTTCCATACAAACTTTGATTGAATTGCGCTCTATCTAAACGTTAATATTAAGAGCTAAAATTTTCAGAGAATTGTTTTTTATCAATTTGGAACCATTTGAGCCCCTGGGAGCAAGGAAATTCGAAAATGACCATTTTAAGGACCACCCTAATATATATATATATATATATATATACAGCGTTGTAGCGTTATAACCTTGATCAGTGTCCACAATGCAATGCTACCAATAACATTAATTATAGGAGGGCAATATGTGCTCCTTCTATTTCTCGTTTGTTAATATAATAGTATTTTATTATTTTACACAAATTTAGTGTTCAATCAATTTTACATCACAATTAATTTTTTCTGTTGTTTTTCATGGTTTGGTATGTATAATTTCCTCAGTAATATTATGCAATGTAGTAATATTAAATTATATGAATATTTTTGTACAATTATCAATTTTGATATTTTTGTATAAATATAAAAATTAGTCCAATTTCTTAACACTAAATATGTTTCTTCTTATCTGCAGGAATGATTTATCCATTATTATTTTTGTTTTGTAAAATATCTTTGTATCTCTGCGTGCGTTTTGTTTTTCGTTTCAGGAACTTTGAAATAAACAAATATAGCAAACAAAGCCAAAAGTCCTGCGAAGACTAGAAACACATAAGCGCCCAAAGCTTCCTGAAAATTAAAAATACAAAATTTAGTACATGAATGGTGTATGAGAATAGTTTTCTGTACTAACTTGTAGGGGTAGAAATCCAAGTCCGACTATAAAATTGGCCCCCCAGTTGACCACAACTGCTACTGTGGTTGCTGATGGTCTGCTTTTGTCGTCGAATAATTCACCAGCCAAAAACCTAAGGGGTGAGTGAATATAGATGTACTATTTATAGTTTAAACTTATTTCATGTTTCTTAAAACTTGCAATCAAAAATTGTGACCAAAACTTGTATCCTACAAACGAAAGCTAACTTGTTTGGTACTCGACGTTCTTGCATTTATTTACATTTTGCGCTTTTTAACAAAAAGTTGTTAGAACTTGTATTTATTTTCATATATCATTGAAAAGTTAATTAAATTTACTATATTATAGTGTAAATTAATTAATAACTTTTAAAACAAAATTATATTCAAAAAAATCGGTGAACTTTGAAATGTAAAACAGAAGTTCAGATTGGTTGGTACTTGATGTTCGTGCATTTATTTATATTTTGCGTTATTTAACAAAAAGTTGTTAGAACTTGTATTTAATTTTATTAGAAAGTTTATTAAATTTACTATCAAATAGTGTTAATTTTTAGAACAAAATTATTTTGAAAAAAACGGGTAAACTTCGAAATATAAAACGAAAGCTCAGAATGTTTGATACTTGATGTTCGTGTATTTATTTACGTTTTGCGCTTTTTAACAAAAAGTTGTTAGAACATGTATTTAATTGTATACATCATTTAAAAGTTGATAAAATTTACTATGAAGTAGTGTAATTTAGTTAATAACTTTTAGAACAAAATTTATTTTGAAAAAACTCGGTAAACTTTGAACTATAAAAACTTTGAAATTTCAAACGAACGTTCAAAATGTTTGATACTCGATGTTATTGCATTTATTTACATTTTGCGTTATTTACCAAAAAGTTTGTTAGAATATGTACTTATATTTATATATCATTGAAAAGTTGATAAAATTTACTATATTATAGTGTAAATTAATTAATAACTTTTAGAACAAAGTTATATTGAAAAAAATCGGTAAACTTTGAAATGTAAAACGAAAGCTCAGAATGTTTGATATTCGATGTTAGTGCATTTATTTATGTTTGGCGTTATGTAATAAAAAGTTGTTAGAACATATACTTATATTTATATATCATTGAAAACTTAATAAAATTTACTATAAAGTGTCGTAATTTAATTTATAACTTTTAGAACAAAATTATTTTGAAAAAACTCGGAAAACGTTGAACTGTAAAATGTTTGGTTCTTGCATTTGCAAACTTTGAAATATAAGCTCAGAATGTATGAATGAGAATGATGTTGTACAACAACTTGGTGTATTTTGAAATCGTGTTAAAATTCAGATATGTAAGTGTATAGAACCCTATTGATTTTTAAAGGGTTTGAGTATGGTATTCTAAAAGTGCTCGTCGAGACCTTTTATTTGATACCCCACATCAATTTTTGCCATATATAAAAAATCTTGACCCAAATTACACGCTGTACTATATATAGTACGAGCCACTCCGCTCTCAGAACAAGCAAATCGTTTGTGCATTTATTTACTAAATCTCTTGTAACTTTTGAACGGTTTGTTCAAAATGCATGAAATATTCTGAAAATTTACAGAAATTTAATCATTCTATAAATGTTTCTGCATTTATTTAAATTTTGCGTTATATAACAAAAAATGGTTAGATTATGTTTTTAATTGCATATACCATTAGAAAGTTAATGAAATTTACTATAATGCAGTGTAATTTAATTAATAACTTTTAGAACAAAATTTTATTCAAAAAGCTAGGTAAACTTTAAAATGTAAAACACAAACTAGCATGTCTGTAATTTAATGTTCTTATGCATTCATTTGTATTTATCTACATATATATAAAATAAGTCGGGTTTTCCTTCCTGACGAAATAACTCTAGAACGCACGAACCGATTTCGACAATTTTGCATTCGGTGGAAAGGTCTCGGGCTCCACAAGGTTTATAGCTAAGAAAATTAGTGCCATTTAGAAAATCATTGTTTTTTACATGGGCAGTTATACGTTGCCTGTTCACGAGTTGGAAAACAATCCGCTTTGTTTGTGTTAACGTCAGACCAAAAAACAAAAAATGTGGTTTACCAAGGAGCACTTCAATGAAACGGATAATTAGCGGATTCACTTTCATTTACTTAGAGAAGTTCAACTAAAAAACACTTCATTTTTGTAATCGAAATAAATTCATTACTGTTGTGTAATAAAATCAAATTTTCCTTTTCAAATATAAAACAAACAAAAAATTTCTTCATCTTTCTCACAAAACCATCTGGTGGCGAAACGGAGTTTGTCGGGTTTGATATATATAATTAAAAACTGAATTTAAAGAAAATAATTTCACAATTTGTGCATTTTAATAATATGATAATTTTTTTACCATGGTATGGATCCAGGGCCAGCTGCAAAAAGTGTCACATAAGAAAACACCAGAAGCACCGACAGCGCAGGCGCCCAATTGGACGCCCCTGCATTTTCCTCGGAGGCAAAGTACAAGGCTGCAGTCAAACCCACAGAATTTATACACATCCCTCCTAAACCTGCCAGCAGGAGGATACGTCTGCCTAATTTTTCAAC